AGTTCTGTCCATTTTCCTGCACCTTTTAGGATGTCATTGCTTCTTATCATGAGTCGCATTTCATTGTGCAAATGTACCACATTTTCTTTATCCATTCTTCAGTTGGGAGGCATCTAGGCTGTTTTCAAGATCTGGGTATTACAAGTAATGTTGCTATGAATATGGGTGAGAAAATGCTCTTGTGATGTGAATGAGCCTCATTCAGGTATATACCCTAAAGTATTATTGCAGGGTCTTCATGTAGGTTGATTCCCAATTTTCTGAGAAATCGTCAATACTGGTTTCCACAATGGCTGTACAAGTTAGTACTCTCACCAGCAATGGAGGAGTTTCCCTCCAGAATAAGCGGTCTTTGGTGTTTTTAATCTCAGATAGTCTAACTGGTATAAGATGCCATCTCAGAATTGTTTTGCATTACATTTCTCTGATGACTAAAGGTGTTGACCATTTCCTTAAGTGTCTTCCTGATATTTGAGATTGCTTTGTTGAGAATTCTCTGTTTGGATATATATCCAATTGTCTTAGTGGATTATTTGATAGTATGATGTCTAGTTTCTTGAGATATTTGTATATCTTGAAGATCATTGTTCTGTCAGATGTGGGGTTTGTGAAGATCTTTTCCTGTAGGAGGAAGTCTGATGCCGCCATTAAACATGTGACTTATTAGAGGCGCATACAGATGAGGTAATAAAAGGGCGGTTTACCACACCGCTAACCACACCCACTTTAGGCAGGACTAAAGACGTATACGGCTGGACGTAAAGACGTATACGTACGTAGGCTGAACTACGTCACTAGCCAGGCCCACTTTTGGGCATGGCTGGGGGCGTTACGGGGGAAGGTATAAAAGACAGCACACAGGAAGTCTCGGTCTCTTTTCCCGGAGTCTGGCTTCCGGTTCGAGCGGAAAACTGCTTGGCTCATCTGGGTTTGGTATCTTGTGAGTAATTTCTACAATAAATACTTAGTTTTACTTCCAGTAAGTGTCGCTTATCGTTACAGCGTCCGTTGAAGCCTAGATTTTCCTATTATGTAGAGAGCTGTTTTATCTTCTTGACCATGTTCTTTGCTTTACAGAAGCTTCTCAGTTTCAGGAGGTCCCGTTTATTAATTATTGACCTCAGAGTCTGTGCCACTGTTGTTCTATTTAGGAAGTGGTCTCCTGTGCCTATGTGTTCAAGGTATTTCCTGCTTTCTGTTCTATGAGGTTCAGTGTGGATGGATTTTATTGAGGTCCTTGAACAATTTGGACTGTGAGTTTGGTGATAGATATGGATCTATCTTCATTATTCCACATATTGAGAGCCAGGTATACCAACACCATTTGTTGAATATGATTTCTTTTTTCCACTTTAGATTTTTAGTTTCTTTTCAAAAATCAGGTGTTCATAGGTGTGTGGGTCCACATCAGAGTCTTCAATTAGATTCAATTGGATCACATGTCTGTGTTTATGCCAATACCAAGTTGTATTCATTACTGTAGTTCTAGAGTAGAGCTTGAAGTCACGTATGGTGATGACCCCAGATGATCCTGTATTGTACAGGATGCTTTGGATACCCTGGATTTTTTGTTTTTCCGTATGAAGTTGTTATTGCTTCAAGGATTGTGAAGATTTGTGCTAGGATTTTGATGGGAATTGCAATGAATCTGTAGATTACTTTTCATAGGATTGCCACTTTTTACGATGTTGATCCTACCTAACAAAGAGTATGGGAGGTCTTTCCATTTTCTGATATCTTCTTTAACTTCTTTGTTTAATGTCTTAAAGTTCTTCTCGTATAAGTCTTTCACTTGTTTGGTTAATTACTCCCAGATATTTTATGTTATTTGTGACTATTGTAAAGGATATTGTTTCTCTGATTTCTTTCTCAGTCCTCTTATCATCTCTACATAGGAGGGCTACTGATGTTTTTCAGTTAATCTTGTATCCTGCTACATTATTGAAGGTGTTTATCAGGTGTAGGAGCTCCCTGATAGCATTTTTGGAATCACTTATATAAACTATCATATCAGAAAATAGTGAGAGTTTAATTTATTTTCCCATGTGCTTTTTCTCTATTTTTTTATTTAAATTAGAAACAAGCTTGCAAGCTGGGCATTGATTGCGCACACCTTTAACCCCAGCACTTGGGAGGCAGAGGCAGGTGAATCTCTGTGAGTTCCAGGCCAGCCTGGTCTACACGGTGAGTTCTAGGACAGCCTCCAAAACAACACAGAGAAACCCTGTCTTGAAAAAACCAAAAAAGAAAGAAAGAAAGAAAAGAAACAAGCTTGCTTCACATGTCAATTCCAGCTCCCAGTCCCCCCCTCCAGTCCCCCACCACCACCCAACCCACCACACAATCACCACTCTGCTCCCCAGGTACAGTGAAGCCCTCCATGGGGGATCTGCAAAGTCTGTCATATCCTTTGGAGCATGGCCTAGGCCCTCCCCCATGTATCTAGGCTGAGAGAGTATCCCTCTATGTGGAATGGACTCCCAAAATCTATTCACATGTCAGGGATAAATACTGACCCAAGGGATTTCTGAGGCCTTCTCACTGACACCCAAATTTAGGGGGTCTGGATCAGTAAAATGCAGGCCTCTAAGCTATCAGTCTGGGGTCCAAAAGGTCCCCCTTGTTCAGGTCAGCTGTTTCTGTGGGTCTCTCCAGCCTGGTCTTGACCCCTAAGCTCATCACTTCTCCATCTCTGCAACTTGGTTCCAGGAGTTCATTTCAGTGTTTAGTGTGGGTGCCTGCCTCTGCTTCCATCAGCCACTGGATGAAGATTCTAGGAAGGCATATAAGGTAGTCATCAATCTCATTATTGGGGAAGGGCATTTAAGGTAGCCCATCCACTATTGGTTAGATTGATAGCTGGTGTCATACTTGAACATCTCTGAAAATCTCACAAGTGCCAGATCTATCCTCAAATCTATCATGACTCCCTTTATTACAGTATCTCTCATCCTGCACTCCTCTATTCTTCCCCTGAATCAACCTTCCTGACCCCCCATGTCCTCCTTTTCCCCCTCTTGTCCCCCTCTCTTTCTCCCAGCTCCCTCTTCCCTCCCCCCATGCTCCCAACCCACTCAGGAGATTCTGTCCCTTTTCCCTTCTCTGGAGTACCATGCAAATCTCTCTTAGGGTCCTCCCTGTTTCCCAGACTCTCTGTTGGTGGGATTATAGACTGGCACTCCCGTTTCATGTCTAAAATCCATATATCATGTTTGTCTTTCTGTGACTGGGTTACCTCACTCAGGATGTTTTCTTCTAGTGCTGTCCATTTGCCTATGGGTCTGGAGGTGAGGTCCCTCCTCATGCTCCAGCAGATCAAAGATGGGTTCGTAGATATAGCAACCAAGTCTCATCCCTGAGTCTGAGCATGGGCAGTAACAGGTTTGGTCTGCCACATGTGAAATTTGGACAACTCTTCCATGCTCATAATTCAGGTCTGGCTCACCCACACTTGCACTAATGAGTTTAGCTCTGTTGTGCTGCCCAGGTGATGAGCAGGGCCTGCAGTCATGAGTGTTGCAGCTGGTAGGGATCAGAGACAGCTTTCCTCTTAAACCACAGGGCCAGCTTTCACACCTGCCCTAGCTTCTGAAGGGCATGGGGGAGTAGTCCAACTCTCCACCACTTCCTCCAACTGATGGGTAATGGGGACAGCTCTCCCTTGCTCACAATTCCAGGGCTGGCTCACCCATAACTGTGCTGACAGGGTTGGCTTTATTGTGCTTCCCTGGTGAGGTGTAGGGCCTGATCTCCTAGTGTTGCAGCTGGTAGAGGTCAGGGACAACCATCTGTCTTATGACCACAGGGCCAGCTCTCCCACCTGCCCCAGGCATTGATGGCCGATAATGGGGGATGTCCTTCTATATATATGTTTCTCTTATTGGATGATTCATAATACACTAATTGGCCAGTAGACAATTAGTAGGAAATATAGAGGGGCTACAAGATGAGGAGAGTTCTGGGGAGAGGACGCTGAGAGATGCTACCAGGCAGACACCATGTAGCTACTGAGGGAGCAAGGTTCTCCCAAGATAAAGCAACGTAGAAACGCTCAGATTATTAGAAATAAGTTAATAATTAAGAGAGAGGTAGCCAAGAAAAACCCAAGGACACTGGCCAAACAGTTTAATAAATAATATAAGTCTTTGTGTGTTTATTTGTGGCTAAAGGGCTGTAGGACCAGGCAGGACTAGAATCTCCTACTACAGGGCAGGGTAGAGGTCATCCTTTCTCTGCTATGCCACCATAAGACTGATGAGAAATTGAGAAAGTTCTGCATGCTCACCACTTTGGGGTGGCTCACCCACAACTGTGTTAGCAGAGTTTGCTCTATTTTGTTGTCCTGGTTGAGGTGCAAGGCCTCTCTTCCAAGTACCCTGCTACCTGGTGACAACATGTGTTGGGGAGAACTACCCCACTTGTCCAGAAAATCCTGAGACAGTTGGAAAAGCTGGCTTGTGTTCACAAGAGCTGGGGTATTCTTTTAGTTGTTGTCCCCTCCTCACTGATGACTGTAGCCTGTGGTCAAGTTTTTAGAAAAACAGGCAGGACAATTGAACCTGTGTCATCTTGACACACAAACACATCACCAGCAAGACACCTTTACTTCCTCATTCATCCCCAAGGTCTCACATGAAAATCTAAATAGGGGTTAAAGAGATATCTCTGCAGTTATTGTCGTTATCTAACTTTAGTTCCACGGGATCTAACACCCTCATACAGACATACATGCTGTCAAACTTTTGTATATAAGAGAAGAGAATATTTACACACTGCATTAATGTCCAGTATCCTAATCTTATAAAATAAGTGCCTCAGTGGAAGATTATTGGGGACAATGCAGAGAAAAGTAGTATACATGATACTTACTGATTTTTAAAAATATCATTAGAAGTAACAGCAAGAGTCATTAGCTAATGCATAGAAATCTTGCCCTGCATTCTAATAGGTTGTTCAGTACCAACATTACATTTGTCAGTTACAATTTATATAATGTTTGTTCAGGATGATATTTTCTCCCTTAACTTTTGAAGGGAATTTCTCTCTGGTCTTAACAAAATTATGTAGCACTTGGGGACAAAGATGCATCCCAGCAAGCCTGCACTGGAGGCCAAGATGGAGAAGACCTCCACAGCCACCATGACCTTGCCCTTGGTGCTGTGGTAGACAGGGAGAAAAGTGACCCAGACACTGCAGAACAAGAACATGCTGAAGGTCAGCAACTTGGCCTCATTGAATGTGTCAGGGAGATTCCTGGACAAGAAAGCCAGAATGAAGCTCGCCAGGGCCAGGGAGCCCAGGTAACCTAGGACACAGTAGAAGGCAGTACCTGAGCCCTTGTTGCATACAATGATGATGTGACCGTGTTCAGAATGTGCATCAGTGTCAACAGAGGGAGGAGAAGCTCCCAGCCAGATTGCACAGACAATAATTTGCATGATGGTGCAGAAGGGAATGATGTAGTTAGGCACACCTGATACCAGGAGCCACCTCATTCTTCTTCCAGGAGCAGTGACTTTGAAAGCCAAGACCACAGTCACTGTTTTGGCCAACACAGTGGAAACAGCCACAGTGAACACAATTGCATACGTTGTTTGCTGCAGGACACAGGTGACTGAGTTGGGATGGCCAATGAAGAGCAAGGAACAGAGGAAACAGAAGATGAGAGAGACGAGTAGGATGTAGCTGAGAGTGAGGTTATTGGCCTTCACAATGGGAGTGTCATGGTGCCTCACAAAGACACCAAGGACCAGGGCTGTGAATACAGAGAAAGACAAGGCCATGCAGGACAGAGCCATCCCCAAGGGGTCATCAAAGGTCAGATAGATCTCGGCTTTGAGAATGCACTGGTTGTGCTCTGTGTTGGCATACTGGTCCTCTGGACACTTCAGACACTGATCCAAACCTAGTACAGAAAACAAAAGTATTGTTACTGCAGCTTCAGCGTTTCTTATTGACAGGCCATTGACAGTGTAAGGTGGAAGCTTTGCAACATTCTTGTTTGTTATCTCTGAAGGTATAACTGAGGCTTTTCTGAACAGTAATGCTTCTGTTTCACAAATCCTGCCTTCTTCAAGGACAAACACAGGTCCTATGGATTCACTATAATGTGAATCTCCCAGCCTGAATTAGAATGGATGCTCTCATGAGAGATGGGGACTTGATCTTCTCCAGGAATGAGACCACTTATAGCCTTTTTAAAATTCCCACATAGTCATCACCAAACACACGAATCAATTGTGTGTGTGCACTTGCACGTGCATATGTCAAGGTAGTAAATGAAAAAGAGTATCTGAAAATAGTAAAATAAAAGGAGCTCATGAGTTTTGGGTGGATGTGTGGGAAATAGTATGGAGAGAAAGGGAGGTTATAGGATACTGTAAAACAAAGAAATACGATGCCCATTTTTGTGTCCTCATGGGGTTATACAATAGTTTATAAGAAACAATAATCATACTATTAAAGGTAGAAAACTCTGTATATACTTAATATTCAGAAGTCCTTCATGTTATAACACCACCTTTGGGAGCAGTAAGCATCTTCTCCTTTCCCCAATATCTATCTGTATGAGAACTTGTTGTTTTAATGCACTCAATGGTTAAGGAGTTATTGATTAAACAGCATCAGCAAGACAACATGAGAACTCTCAATTGAGAGTGCTAACACAGATTATTTGAATTGGGCAGTTAAAACTCCATCAATACGTTGTAATTTCCACCACAGCAAGCGTAGGAAATATGATTGTAACTGTGCTATGTTGTGGATGATCATGGAGAGCAATGATGTAAGTCCAGTTCCCCCTACCCATGCATACCAAGTGACACACTACCAACTGTAACTCCTGTACAAAGTGCATTGATTGGCTCTGGTGGCCTTTAAATGGACCTGGCCCTGTACGCAATTACTATGTTCTACATACATCGTATTAAAACATTAGTAAGTTTAATGTTTGTTTTTTGCTGTTTATTATTATAAATGCCCTCTATAGTTATTTTGTCTTAAAACTATTTTACTACAATCTGTTGAGTTATGTATGTGCATGTGTGTGTAGCATGCAAGGAGTGGAGAATGCAGCATGTAGGAGCCAACTCCAGTGGGAACTCAGGTCATTAACTCAAATGAACTCAGGTCATTAACTTTAATTGAAGAGATTTCCCTGTTAACTCTTCTCACTGACTCTAAATGTCTTTTCTTAATGTTCTTGTCTTCACAGACAATGACTGCCAAAAAAAGTAAAAATTGATACTGTCTTCAACTTTGTATTTGGCCATCTCCCAATCAATAACAGTTGACTTATGAATATTGTATACATTACATTGTCATTTGAGTAACTGTGGCTATTCCTTTCACTATGAAACTATTCTGTTTATAGTATTGTGGCATTGTTCACTGCTACTGTGTACGAAAGTCTTTAGTAGGATGGTGGTATGTTAAAGGACACCAGGGAACATAGAAATAAAGAATAATAGATATACAATGATGGTAAATAATTGACACAGTCTTCTGTCCCTGGAGGTAGAGCATCTCCATGCAGGATGATCCAAACACCACCCAAGAGAGCCTGAGTGAGCCCCTCCTCATCCTTATAAGGAGTCACTTCTTCATACAAAAGACATGCCCTAAGGCCATTACCTCAAGTCTATAGGTGCAACAAGATGTCACTACAGTAGGACAACTTTCTCTACAAAATGTGTCCGCACTGATCCCCACTTTTTTTATATGTAATCATATTACCACATAAACAGGAACACTGGTAATTGCATGCTGTAGCGCTGCCTCACATTTAGGTATTTCCTCATAATCTTACCCACAATTTCTACTCTTTAGTCACCTGATATCCTTCAATGACATCAGTCTCCATAGTCTCTGGGAATCTCTCCCTCATGCATGTAACAGCTCTTGCTTCATCCCACAGTCTCCGTTGCACACTCTTACTGCAGCCTTATGGTACACCCTGGACTCACATCTTCATGTTGTCTTTCCTGCTCATCTCTAAGCTAAGTGACAACACAAAATACTGCTCATTCATCAACTGCTGTATGGACAGCATTGCCATCGCCACACGATAATTATTTCCCCTCCCAACACATGGTGACTCAATGTCTGTCTTCATCAGCAATGCTTATGGGCAGGGACAAGATGAAGATCTGTAGGATTCATGAACTCAGTGGCAGGTGCGATGGCTCAACAGTTAATATGGACTCGGCATTCACATGGAACCATATACCTGTCTATAAGTCAAGTTCTAGGGCTTGCATGCACTATTTTTGGCCTCCACAATCTTCTACATGTATATGGTTTACACAAACTCACACTGAAAGACATACACACATTCAAGAAGAATAAATGAATAACCAAATATTTAAAATATTCTGACTACAATGTAGTCCACATGTACCCTTAGAGGGATATCATCATTGGAATAGATACATTGTACAGTTCCCTCATAGGGCTGTTTTGATTTTTCCAAGCACTTTTTTTAGAAAATACTACCTGCAATGCATTTTCAGAGTCCAAGATGTATGTCAAGGAACAGATTGTTATTTATAACGACGTTGTTATTAATCATATTCTTATAAAGACACAATTAGGAAAGGAATAGATAGCGCTAACAGGGAAACAGAAACTAGTATGTCCCCAGACCCCAGCTCAACTAATTACATGTTAGAAATACCATTCAGACTGGAAAGGTCAGCACATAGTCATTACCACCTGCAAAACTAAAACAAATGCCTAGTCCACCACAGTTATTGTAGATCTGGAAAAGTCTCAAAATGTATTAATCTTGACTTTTAGCTTCTGTAGGGCTGCTTCCAGGTAAATGCTCTTGTTAACTGAAATAAGTCAACCCAGAACATCGTTCTTTTGCTTAAATGCTCATTCTGAGAAAGGCTCAGTGCTATCTTGGGATCCTGAATGCACATTGTATTTGCCAGCTGGCTAATATATATATTAGTTAGAAAAAACCTATGTCTGAGCAATCTTCTCTGGTAAACACTGCACAACAGTGCCACTTCCTCCCAAGCCCCTTCAATGTTGCAGTGTGGATAGGAGAAGAAATCAATCTGTATGATTTCTCCCCACAGGAGACACTTCACCTGTCTCGTTTGAAATCTCATTTTCTGGGCAGGGGACGCAATCAAAACAGCAGACAGCCATTCCCTTCTGATGGAATTTTCTGAATCCAGGATGACAATCAACACTGCACACAGAGGAGGGTACCTGAGGAAAATCAGACATATGCTAGGTCAGAAGTTTGCAGACTCATTTAGCAGTTACAGCATCTCATCATGTTGAGTAGTTAAGAAGTCTACTGTCTACATGTGATCTGAGTGATCACATTTCATTCAGTACATTGTACAAGGCCACACATGTGTATATTAGAACAACTGATGCTCAGTTGAGGTGATTCCAAACTATTAAAAATTCAAGAAGACCTAGCAGTACACATCGTGTGAGCACTGTAATGACTGAACTGTATACCCCACCAACCCATTTGCCAGTCAGGTTTTCTCAGCTTGACACAAAGCAGAGTCACAAGAGAAAATGTGAATCATAATTGAGAAATTGTCTCTATTTAACTGATTTCTGATCACCTTTCTGAAATATTTTCTTGATTGCTTATTGATTCTGGGATGGACCACCATGGCTGGTCCCATTCTGCATTTAATGCAAATGCTGGGTTTCCTCACCAGGTAGTCCAATGGCCTCTATGCTTTGTGTGTGTGCTTTTTAAAAAGATTTATTTATTTTATGTATGTGAGTACTCTGTCTGCATGTACAACTTTATGCCAGGAGAGGGCATCAGATTTCATTAGAGATGGCTATGAGCCACCATCTGGTGCTGGGAATTGAACTTTGGACCTCTGGAATAGCAGTAGGTACTTCTAACTGCCGACCCATTTCTCCAGTCCCCGATGTTTTGTCTTATACAAACTTTTTTGTCAAAATACGTTTCTTCTTGCTTTTTTCCTGTATTCTTGTTTATTTGTTGTTTTTCTATGAAAGGATGCCTGACATTACTAAAGATCTTTTCTGTATCTTTTTTAGGGGCTCTTTTAATTCTGTTGTATGGTTTTTTTTATGTGACACAATATATTTGATTGATTTGTATATGTTGAAGCATCCTTTCATCCCTATAATAAAGTCCTTCTGGGTATTGATTTGGCCTTTGAGATGTGATGTTGAGATCTGTTTGCCAGTACTGGGGAAAGTTTTCCAAAAAAGTTCATAGATTGGCCTACAATTTTCTTTCTGATACCTTCAATGTTGAAAGTCTGTTCTTGTTCATTAAGGCAGTGTGTTCCTTTTAATCAACATATTATTGTTTGTTTTTTTAAAAAAAACCCATTTCCTTGTCTGTGTCCTGTTGTGGAATATTAGTTGAAGATGTGTTACATTTGTTCATGTTGTGGAACATTTGTCTTATGATGCAAAGATGTGGTACATTCTTTTATGTTGCATTTGTAACTCTGTGAAGCTGTGTTACTTTGCTTGTCTAAAACACCTGATTGGTCTAATAAAGAGCTGAAAGGCCAATAGCAAGGCACAAGAGAGAATAGATTAAACTGGCATGCTGTGAGAATAAATAAGAGGAGAGAGGATAGGAAAGAACATAAAGACCGTGAAGTAGAGAAGCAGGAAAGAAGACACCAGGGGGGCAGCCACAGAGCTGTACACCAACAGCCATGGAGTAAGAAGCAATGAAAGGTTTACAGAAACAGGGCAAAGTAAAAGCCCAGAGGCAAAAGGAGGATGGCATATTCTTTTCTGACCCTGTCTGTGTGCCATTCTGACTACCTCTTATAATGTTATTAGAAATAGTTTGGTGCCTGTCCCATGTTGTCCTTCTGCTCTTGTGTTGGTGCTGTGTTAAGTTCATCTTTTAGTGATATCTCCTAAGTCTCTTATGTTTCTTTCATCCTTGCTTATTGTTCTATCTTTGTCATAGTTTGTTTCCAGTCCTGAGAGTCTGTCTTCTACTTGAGACATTCTCTTATTAATACAATTTATCCAGAATGTTATTCAAATTGTTGTCTTTCATTTTCAAAATATCAGTATGAATTCTTCATTGTTATTGAAACTTTATTGAATTTCTGTCACATCCTCACTCAATTACTCATTGGGTGCAAGTGTTTGAGAACTTGTTTAGTTGATTTAGAGGTAATTTGTGTGCTGTTTGATTTTTCTGGAACATGCATGCAATTATTTTTTGAAGTGTTAGTTTGAATTTGCTGTCACTCTAGCCTATGCCTATATCATTTGGAGTCATGCTGCCTCAGTGTTTTCAAGTATCTTTTGGTTCTGCATTGTGATTTGTATATCTGGAGTGGGACTCATTTTAGGTTATATTTAGTCCTCCTTATCCTTTTGATGTCTTTAATATTCAAGTTAGGCCTGGTAGAAGCAGGCTGATGATTTCACTGCACTCCTCTGACATAGTGGTACAGCTCAGTAACTAAACCTTTAGTCCACTTATTCTCCTCCCTTAGCATAGTTTTCTAGAATATTAATCAATTAATATTGATTTCACTCTATCTGAAAAACCTGAGATTCAGCTCAGATTACACCTGCAGACTTTCCTGAAGTTAATGTCTTTCAAAGTCAAAGCACAACACTGTAGTAGGCAATGTAGTTCTGATACTATAAAACCAGAGACATCAGAATCGATACCTATAATACACTAGGGACACATAATGATTATCTTATGCACAGATTTCCTCAAAGTCAAATTTTTATGACTATGAGTACCCGTCTTGTAAACAAGATGAATCTTTGTTTGTTTGTGGCTTGTTTGTCTTAAGGAGTTATGCAAGAATTAAGGTACAAAGTTATGTTCTTCTGGTGAGAAATTCCTTTAGAAGTTATGATTCAGTGCTGGAGAGGTGACTCAGCAAACTTCAGCACTTGCCATCCAATGAACCACTTCTATGCTTAGGCTAAAGTTTTCTTCAGCTCCTGGAATCCTCAGCCACCTTATACTTATATGGAACTGATATATATAGGCAAAATATCCATGTAAATAGGATGTCTAAAAACACAGGTTATAAATAACGAAATATCTGATGTGGACCATGAAAATGTTATGTAGTTTTAGTGATATTGTCAAGTTAGGACCTTCTTGTTCAAGTGATTAAATAAAATTATATAATATAAATTCATGACTTGCATATTTGTTCTTTGTTCCAAGACTTTCCTCACTGTTAGCTTCAGTCTTGTCAGTATCTGGCTTAGAGGTTCAATGGCAGAGAAGAAAAGCAATGGGTAGTGATGGGGAAGTCCTGTGTATACATCAATAAAGCAGTGTTGGCTAATTGGGAAGTAAGATAGGTGGGACTAGGAGTCAAGGAGGATTCTGGGAAAGAGGCAGAGTCAGCCGTGAAGTAGCCGCCATAGGGGTAAGAGGTATGGACCCTTTTCTCCGGTAAGAGAAATACTTAGATTAACAATTATGAGTTAAATACTTAAGTCAGAGAAAGCCAGTAAGAAACAAGCAAACAGCCAACAGCTTCATAATTAATATAGCGTCATGTGTGTTATTTGGCAATTGCAATGTGGCAGTGCCCGGGCAGCTGGCGGGGGGGGGGGACCAAAGCAGCTGGCAAGGAAAAGATTATACTCTACAGGGTAGAAATCAGAGTGGTATCAAGAAAATATTGAAAACTTTCCTGGAAATAATACCAAAACCATCTAGTTCTGTTTTTGTTTACAAATCAGAGCGTTTCCTATATAATAAAAGTACATCACATGCACATCTTAGATTTTCAGATAATTAGTAAACTATCATATTTTTAAAAAGTGAGAGAAGAAACATTGTATAGAAGGCTAAAACTGAGTGTTTACATAACCAATGATCTAATTTCACTAAGTAACATGCAAACCCAAATGATCCTATATGGCAGAGATTATTGCTGTGTAGTATGCATCAGTGTAGTTATATCAGACCCACCTGTCTGCTCCCCGTGGCCCACTCTATGATGTCTTCAGATAAATGGAGCTGATGACCATGTGGAAAATGAGTAGGGTTAAACTCTCCTACTTTCACCTTAAGTCCAACACCGTGGGGGAAACTCCGGATAAGGTAAATGTCATATTCTGCCTGCAGTTTTTCTTTCTGATTCATATGTATAGCATCTCCAACTGGGTTAATGAAGTGAGTTTTCTTCAAAAATGGGCGAAGCTGAAATATAGGCAAATTCTCTAATGTATAAGCTCTTACTTTAAGTCATAGCATCTGCTCTGATTTCGTCTTGATATAACTTCATTGAAGGTGGCTGTGGTGATATCTTGCCTGTACAAATAAAGCCTGTCTGAGGAATCGAGAATGGAGCTTGCCACTAACTATCCATAGAGGTCTGTGGATCTGTATAGACAGACTGGAAGTGAGATAACTGGATGGAAACCAGATATAAGCAGGGAGAATGAAGGACTCTCTCTTGTCTGCTGAGTCACTAAGGAGTTAAGCTGTGACTTTGGGTTGCTCCTTATTCTCTCTAAGGCTTTTTGATTAAGAGTCTCTTGCTCCCGTGGAGAGATTTTCTGCATCACTTATGTAAACTATCATATCATCTGCAATCAGTCAAACTTTGACTTCCTCTTCTTCCAATTTGTATCCCCTTGATTTTCATTTGTTGTCTTACTGCTCTAGCTAGAACTTCAAGTACAATATTGAGGAGATATGGAGAGAGTGGAGAGACTTTTCTTGTTCCTGATTTTAGAGGAATTGTGTTGAGTTTCTCTCCATTTAGTTTGTTGTTAGCTGTTGGTTTACTGTATATTGCTTTTATTGTGTTCATGTGTGTTCCTGTTATTCCTGATCTCTCAAGGACCTTTATCATGAAGGTGTGTTGGATTTTGTCGAAGGCTTTTTCAGCATGAAGTGAAATGATCATGTGATTATCTTCATTTCTACAGCCAAAAGAGATATCTATGAGCTTTAATTAAAAAAGAAAGAGATAACTCTCAGATAATCTGGGAAACAGGATAGACCCTAAGTGAGATATGAAGGGTACCCCTAGGGAAGGGAGTGGGACAGAATCTCCTGAGCGGATTGAGGGCAAAGTTCATGAGTGGGGAGGATAGTGACCTGGGAGAAAGAGAGGGGTTGAAGAGAAGGGGAGAGGAGGACATGGGGGAGCAGGATGTTTGAGTTTTCACTATTTACAGATGATATGATTGTTTACATAAGTAACCCAAAAAGCTCCGCAAGGGAACTCCTAGAGCTGATAAACACCTTCAGCAAAGTGGCAGGATACAAGGTTAACTAATAAAAAAATTAAGTGGCCCTATTATATACAGATGATGAAGTGACTGAGAAAGAAATCAGAGAAACATCACACTTTACAATAGCCATAAAGAGCATCAAATATCTGGGGATAATGTTAAACAAGGAATTGAAAGATCTGTATATCAAGAATTTTGAGTCTTTAAAGAGAGAAATCAAAGAGGATTCCAGAAAATGGAAAGATGTCCCTTGCTCTTGGAATGGTAGGATCAACATAATAAAAATGTCAGTCTTGCCAAAAGCAGCCTACAGATTCAATGCAATCCCTATCAAAATTCCTGCACAGTTCTTCACAAACCTGGAAAGAACAACAATCAACTTTATATGGAAAAACAAAAGGCCCAGGATAACCAATACAACCCTATACAATAAAGGAATTTGAGGTGTCATCACCATACCTGACTTCAAGCACTATTATAGAGTTATAGTCTTGAAAACAGCTTGGTGTTGGCACAAAAATAGGTAGGTAGACCAATGGAACTTTATTGAAAACCCTGATTTTAACCCATACACCTATGAACACTTGATATTTGACAAAGAAGGTAAATCTATACAATGGCAAAAAGAAATCATCTTCAACAAATGGTGCTAGCACAACAGGGTATTGGTATGCAGAAGACTGCAGATAGATCCTTGTTTGCCACCTTGTACAAAACTTAAGTCCAAATGGAACAAAGATCTCAACATATATCCAACCACACTGAAACTCTTAGAAGATAAAGTGGGAAATGCTATTCAATTCGTTGTTACAAGAGACCACTTCCTGAACATAACACCAGTGGCACAGTCAATGTTATGGACAATTAACAAATGGGACCTCCCGAAACTATAAAGCTTCTGTAAGGCAAAGGACACCGTCAACAAGACAAAAAGGCAGTCCACAGAATGGGAAAAGATATTCACTAACCCCACATCTGACAGACGGCTAATCTCCAAAATTTACAAAGAATTCAAGAAGCAAGTCTCCAAAACACCAAAGGATCCAATTAAAAAGTGGGGTACAGAACTAAATAGAGAATTCTCAATAGAGGAGGCTAAAATGTCCAAGAGACACTTAAGAAAGTGCTCAACATCTTTAGCCATCAGCGAAATGCAAATCAAAACAACTTTTAGATATCATCTTACTCCTGTCAGAATGGCTAAAATCAAAAACATCCCAAACAATTTATGCTGAAGAGGATGTGGAGAGAGGGGAATACTCTTCCATTGCTGGTGGGAGGGCCAACCCATACAGCCACTTTGGAAATCAGTATGGAGATTCCTCAGGAAAATTGGAATCAATCTACCACAAGATCCAGCACTTCTACTCTTAGGCATATATCCAAAAGAGGCAAATTCATACAACAAGGACATCTGCTCCACTATGTTCATAGCAGCATTATTTGTAATAGCCAGAAACTGGAAGAAACCTAGATGCCCCTCAACTGAACAGTCATTTACACAATGGAGAATTACTCATTAAAAAAAAAAAGCAATGGAATCTTGAAATTCTCAGGTAAATGGATAGCACTGGAAGAAACCATCCTGCGTGAGGTAACCCAGTCACAAAAAGACAAACACGGTATGTACTCACTCATATATGGATTTTAGACATGGATCAGGATAGTGCCAGTCTGCACTTCCACTGGCAGAAAGTCTGGGAAACAGGAAAGAACCTAAGAGATATGCATGGTATCCAAGAGAAGAGGAATGAGGCAAGATCCTCTGAACCGATTGGGAACACGGTGAGGTGTTGGGGGAGTGGGAGCTGAGAAGAGGGGGAGAAGAGGAAGAGAGAGTAGGTCATGGGGCAACAGGAAGTTTGAGTTGGGAGGAGGGAATCATAGGTTAGAAGACAGATAAGGCACCAATGTGACCTCTAGTGATCTAAAGGGATAACACCAATTGGCAAGCTAAGCAATAGTGGAGAGACCACCTCGAATGCCCATTCCTGATAATGAACTTGATGTCTATAACACTCCTGGAGCCTTCATCCAGTGACTGATGGAAGCAGAGGCAAACCCCCACAGTTCAACACTGACCTGAACCGTAGGAACCCAGTGATAGAAAGAGAGGAGTGATGAGCAAATTGGCAAAGAAAGGGCTGGCAAAACAAGCAGAGACAGCTGATCTGAACAGGTGAGAGGTCTTGGATCCCAGACCGACATTTGGGAGGTCAGCAAGGGACTGATCCAGACACCCCCAAATGTGAGAGTCAGTGAGGAGGCCTGGGCAACCAATGGGGCCCTGAGCAGTGGATCAGTGTTTATCCCTGGAATACAAACAGACATCGTGTGTCGATAAAACAAAGAGGGATGCTCTCTCAGCCTGGAAACTTAGGGGAGTGCCTGGACCCTGCCCTGAGTGAAATGACAGACTCTAGATATCCCCTATGTGGAAGGAATTGGCAATAGGGTGGGAGACTAGGGGAGGAAGATAGGCGGGGTGCAGGAGTAAGGGAGAGAGAGGGAACTGGGATTGACATGTAAAACAAGCTATTTAAAAAATAATTAAAAAATAAATTCCCTTCCCCCATAATGTGATTAAAAACGACCTTGTATGCCATCCTAGAGTGAATGATGGAAGCAGAGCTGGACACCCACAGCTAAACTCTGTATATCATTGCCAAGAGGAAGGAGTGATGAGCAAAGGGGTCAAGACTGGGAGGGTGAAACCCACAGAAATGGATCACCTGAAAAAGGGGAAGCACATGACCCCCAGACTGATAGCTGATAGTTCATCATGGGACTGAACCAACCCCCCTGAACATGGTTATCAGTGAGGAGGCCTTGGCACTCTTTGGGGCCTTGGGCGATCAGTGTTTATCCCTGGCATCCAGGGGGAATTGGGAGCCCATTCCACGTGGCTGTCTCTGCCTGGGCATATGGGGGAGGGCCTAGGCTCTGCTCTGGATGATATGATAGACTTTGGTGATCCCTGGTGAAGCGCCTCAACCTCCCTGAAGATTGGAGTGGGGATTGGGTGGGGAGTTGGGGAGTTTGGGAGAGGTGTCAGAGCAGGAGTGGAAGGAGAGGGGGCTGTGATTGACATGTGTAGCATGCTTATTTTATTTTAAATAAAATGTTAAAAAAGAGTCTCATCCTCTACTGACTGAATGGAGTTGGCCAGTCTCCAGGGAGACATCATGTAGATTCATGAAAGCAAGTACCCTGAGCATCACTGGTAAGGCAATGTCATGTGGAGATACACAGATTAATAGAAATTGGTTAATAATTATGAGAGAGCTAACCAATAAGAAGCCTGAGAAATAGGCCACACCGTTTATAACTAATACAAGCTTCTGTGTGTTTATTTTAGACTACATTGCTGTGGGTTGGGACAGGATAGACAGAAACCTCAATGTATAGGTAGCACAAGGGGAAAATTCAATGAAAACATGTGAATAAATAAAACCTTTGTGTTCCTAGCATTTTAGTTCTCTCAGAGTAAATCAACAAATACAATCAAAGACATATTCACAAGCACCAAACATAAATGTGCACTTACACACACACGCACACACCACAGACACACACAAAGTGCATCCACACTCATTCACATATATTCGCACCATCGTACACATCTATGTAGACAGCCACATGCATTCAAATTCACACTCAGACACAGAAACACACATAGGCACATATAGACACAAAACACACAGAGGGACACATAGATACAAACATTCACAAAGACATATGTACACATGACAAATACATGCTTACTTATATCCCCAGCAACACACACAGGAAAGACATAGTAACACACACACAAGCACACACAGACACAGACACACACACAGAGGCACTGAAACACATGGACACTCACAGAGGCAACACAGATACACAGGAACATATGGTGCAAAGAGACACAGAATATCAGATGTACACATACTCATATACACAAGTGCACAAGTACGTATTGAACTGAGTCTCAGCATTAATTCCTGTGTGATTACTCTCAGAAAATCAAGAGATTAAGGTTCCACCAGCCAAGGGTAATGTCTGAGTCAGCTGAGTACACTTGCATCCAACATGCCCTAAAGTGAACACCACACAAAAACAATAAAAAAGTCATGCTAGGAGGTGATGGCACATGTATTTAATCCCAAGACTCAGGAGGCTGAGGTAGGAGGATGTGAGTTCAAGGCCAGCCTGGTCTACAGAGTGAGTTCCAGAATAGGCTCCAAAGCTACACAGAGAAACTGTATCTGAAAAGCTGGGCGTAGAAGCACAGTCTTTTAAAACCATAAGCACTCAAGAGGCAGCGGTGTGTAGAACTCTGATTTTAAGGTCACCCTCTACATACTATGTTTCAGGACACCCATAGATACACAGTGAAACCATATCCCTAAAACAAAATAAAAGATCAAGGTCTTTAGCGTTTATAATAAAAGATAACAGTTTGCACGAGGAAGAAAACAAAGGGCAATGTTAAAACAGATGCTAATAATTGGGTGCATTGTACAAAATTTACCACTTTTCTTACGTATGCCTTAATTAAAAAGGACAATTTATATTAAAAAATTTCTAGGTCTCATGTTGATAGGATTTTATGAAAAAAGTATTGATTCTTTTTTTGATATTGGGATAGTTCTGAAAATGTTGTGGTCATATGTAAAAGACCACTGAATTTCATTGAATAATTATATCTACACTCCACTGCCTTTGTCTTAAAGGTTTAAGCACATTTAGATATACTTAATTGGCAGAAAAATAAAAGTCCAGAATTCCCTCTGTGCTGGGAAAGATTATCCTAGCATCCTTGGTTTGAGCATTTGAGAGACTCTTAAAGAATATCATGGTGGGGGTTGTTGGGAGGGTGTGGGTGGAGGGGAGGGAAAAGGGGGAGGGACTTCTGATTGACAAGTGAAGCAACTTTGTTTCTAATTAAAGAAAAAGAATATCATATTGGGGTGGGGCAGGGGAGGATGGGAGGGAGATGGAGCTGGGATTGACATGGGAAGCAACATTGGTTCTAATTTAAAAAAAAGATATCGGGAACGTTGTCAAATGAACAACAAACATGGAGAGCAACAACAAAAATAAGAATATCACATTGATAACTGGAAGATACAGTACCTGTGAGCAGTCAGAATCCAGCAGACTCTCAGTGTTGAGTGGCTGATTTTCTACTTGCTGAAGAAGCATGTCATGGAGGGCATGGGCCACAGCATACACAGCATTGTAGACATCATAACTGCTATCACTAAAGACGATGTCAAAACTATTTAGCATTAACCATTCCAGTGAGGCATTCAATGAGCAGTTCTCCTGTGACTTACACTTAGACGTTGAGGCTTCACAGTCAAAATACATCCACCCCAGTCTTGCCAGGAAATTGTCTGTGTATTCAGAAGATTTCAATGTCTGAATATAACTTTTTAAACCAGAAATCTCACCATGGTGGTGTGCAAACCCCAGAGTCCCATGGAATGAGTCAAGGGTCAAGTCCCTCTTACTTGTAATGACATCCCACTGTGAGGTGGTGACCCATATTCTCTGTAAACCTAGAGAGTCCCACATTCTAAAGCTCACAGCTAGAGTACTGTCTTTGTCACCATAAATGATAACAACGCTTGTGGATGATGTCACAATTTGGCTGTAATACACTTCAGCTCTTGACATGTATAAATATGTGTCGACTGGGATCATGATCACAAAGGCTAAGCAGACTCTTTTGGCTTTAGATTCTCCTCTCAGATCTGCGAGAAACTGGATACCCTGGTCATCATCTGAGATGGCCAGCCCAACCCAGTTCCAGCTGAAGTGAATTATGACGGAGACCATGGCCAGGGCCAGAGCTGTGTCCTTGGGGGCCATCTGATGCAGATATGGAAATTGTTCATGATCACTCAGGATATCGTAGAAAGGTCCATAGGTGAGCTGTAGGACATAAAACACAGGGATCAGCATAAGATAGAGAATTGTCACAGATCACCATGGAAAACTTGGAGTGTGAGAAGCACCAGTTTGGAATGACAAGAAAGGAAAATTTTCCCTAGTGTTGCAGTTATATTAAACATACTAGGGACCTCCAGTAATCACTTTTCTTCAAATTATTCAAGGAAAATCCCCTAGACTGCTAATTCTCCTTCTCATCTATATATCAAACAATGAATTGTGAATTCCTACATGGATTTACATGAACGTGAAGCCAATCTCCCTCTTTTCCCCCCTGTAGATAGATTCCAGATGTTAACACCCAAACAACCTCACCTGTGGAATTTTGAAGAGCTGCATGTATGGTGCCAGGCTCATAGATATTGCTGATATTGGTCCTGAAATTGCTACTTGACATTTTAAATATTCCCCACAGATTTTGTGAAGGCGAAGAAAACGTCTTTTTGCACTACCATTTATGATATTTCGAAATGCCTTTTTGTCATTGCAATTGTTATTGACGAAAGAAAATGTTATAGACACATTTGGTAGAAGGTATGGATTCCGGTTGATTTCTTGCATGGCTAAAGCCAAAGGAAAAGCAACCTGGTAATTTCTGGTTGATATTCTGAAAATACAGGCACAGGATTTACTGTGTATAAAGCTCTATAGATGAATGCTTTGCAGCTAATACAAGGACTATTGTCCTGAATTCAATGTCATTTTCAGCTAAACCTTGACAAGTTCCCCTGTGTTGTTGCAATACTAATTGTGCCAACCAATCAACTTGTCAGATAGTTTCTTCTTCCACGGTCTTCTCTTTTTCTCCTCAGTGTTATAAAATTTTGACCATGAAGACTGTTGAGTTCCTGGACTACTTTTATTCCCAGGAACTTTATTGTGGGCAGGTCATTGTAAATGTGGATGCTTTCTTGATTTTTTTCTCACTATCATCACTCCTTGTACATGAGAATAATATTGTATCTTGATTTTGTATTCTACTATCTTCTTGATGGTATTCATTAGGTCTAAGAGACACTCAGGGAGTGATGATGAGCTTCTTTACAAGTTTATACTTACGCCTAGTAAAATAATTTGACTCCTTTCTCTGTTAGTATTTCTTTTTTTTAGACTCATTTTTTTAGGATATGCTATTGAAGACTTATCATTTTAAACATGTTTTTTTATTTTAAAGCAGTCTTTTCTCATTTTTCATACCAATCCCATTTTCCACTGCCTCCCCGTATCCCTCTTCCTCCCTTCCCCCAATCCCACACTATCCAATCCTCAGAGAGGGTAAGGCTTCCCATGGGGTGTCAATGAATTCTGCCCCAGCTCGTTGAGGCAGGACCCAGGCCCTTTCCCTATATCTAGGTTGAGTAAAGTTTCCCTCCAAAATGAATGGGCTCCACCAAAGCAGTTCAAGCACTAGAGATAAAACCTGGTCCCACACTTTAAAATCAGTGATAAGAGGAAAATTCATAGCACTAAGTGCCCATATGAAGAAACTGGAGTTTGTCACTCTAGAGACATAACAGCACACATGAAGAATTTGGAAAAAAGAAGCAAACTCACCCAGTAATCTACCATATAAACAAACTGAAAAAGGAAAAACCATATGATCAACTCACTAGATTCTGAAAAAGCCTTTGACAAAATCTAACACACCACTTCATGATAAAGAGCTTGGAGAGAACAGGGATACCAGGAACATACCTAAACATAATAAAAGCAATATACAGTAAACCAACAGCCAACATCAGACTAAATGGAGAAAAACATAACGATTTTTCTCTAAAATCATGAACAAGTCAAGGCTGTCCATTCTCCATATCTTTTCAGTATTGTACTTGAATTATTAACTAAAGCAACAAGACAACAAAAGACAATCAAAGGAATACAAATTGGAAAGGTGTCAAACGTTCACTGTTTGCAGATGACATGATAGTCTATTTAAGTGAACCAAAATATTCTACCAGGGAACTCCTACAGCTGATAAACACCTTCAGTAAAAAGGCAGGATACAAGATTAACTCGAAAAAAATTTGTAGCCCTACTACATACAGATGGTAAATGGACTAAAAAAGAGATAAGAGATACATCACGCTTTACTATAGCTACAAACAACCTAAAATATCTTCAGGTAATTCTAACCAAACAAGTGAAAGACCTGTATAAGAAGAACTTTGAGACGATAAAGAAAGAACTTAGAGAAGATACCCAGAAAATGGAGAGATCTCCCACACTCTTGGATAGGTAGGATAAACACAGTAAAAATGGGAATCTTGCCAAAAGCAATCTACAAATTCAATACAATCCCTAGCAAAATACTGGCAAAATTCTTCACAGATGCTGACCGATCAATACCCAACTTTATATTGAAAAACAAAACACCCAGGATAGCCAAAATAACACTGTACAATTAAGGAACTACCTGAGGCATCAGCATCCCTAACTTCAAGCTCTACTGTAGAGATATGCTCATAAAAACAGCTTGTTATTAGCAACAAAACAGTCAGTTGGACCAAAGGAATCAATTGCAAACCCTGATATGAACCAGCACACCTAACAACACCCAATTTTTAAGCTAAAATTATACAATGGAAAAAATCAAGCATCTTTATCAAATGGTGCATGCATAATTGAATGCTGACATTTAGAAGACTGCAGATGGATCCATATCAATTGCCATGCACAAAACTTAAGTCCGAATGAATTAAAGACAGCAACATAAATCCAGCCACACTGATGCTCTTAGAAAAGAAAGTAGGAGGTACCCTTGAAAGAATTCTTACAGCAGACTGCTTCCTGAACATACCACCAGTATCACACACACTGAGATCGACAATTAATAAATGGGACCTCCTGAAACTGAGGTTCTAAAGGCAAAGGAACTGTTCTCAAGATAAAAGGGCAGCCCACAGAATGAGAAGAAGATCTTCACCAATCCCACATCTGACAGAAGGCTGATTTCCAAAGTATACCAAAAACAAAAGAAGGTGGTCACCAAAACAGCAAAACACCAAAAAATCCAATTAAAAAATGGGGTACGGATCTATATAGAGAATTCTCAATAGAGAAATCTAAAATGGCTGAACATCATTACCTGTCAGGGAAATGCAAATCAAAACAACTCTGTGATACCAGAATGGCTAAAATCAAAAACACTGGTAACAGTCCATGCTGAAGAGGATGTGGAGAAAGAGGAACATTCCTCCAGTGCTTGTGGGAGTGCAAACTTGACAACCACATTGGAAATCAGTGTGGAGATTTTGAGGAAAATGGGAGTCAGTCTGCCTCAAGATCCAGCAATTCCACTCTTAGTCATGTACACAAGGATGCACATTCAAACACCAAGGACGTCTACTCATCAATAGTCATAGCAGCATTATTTGTAATATCCAGAACATGAAAGCAACCTAGAAGCCGCTCAACTGAAGAATAGGTAGAGAAAATGTGGTACATTTACACAATGAGGTACTTCTCAGCCGGGAAAAAACAATGGAATCTTGAAATGTGTAGGCAGATGGATGGAACTAGAGGAAACCATCCTGAGTGAGGTAACCCAGTCACAAAATGATAAACATGGTATGTACTCACTTATATGTGGATTTTAGACATGGATCGGGGAGTGCCAGCCTACAATCCCACTGCCAAAGAGTCTTGGAAACAGGGAGGACCCCAAGAAAGACTCTAAATATAGTACTTGAGAAAATACATGATAATCCTTTTGGCTTCTTTGTAGAGATGTAGGGATGTAATGTATCACAGAAATGTCTGGAGAAAGGCATGACAGTATCATGTGGCAAGATGCAAAAAAATACTTTGGAGAAAAACACAATCTCTCTTGTGACACATGCCCAAAACATGTAAGGAGTAAAAGGATATTATATTGCACTGATTAATTTTTGTTAACTTGACTCAAACATAGACATATCTTAGAGGAGTATAAAATCAAGACAAAACATTTCCTCTACAAGTTTCTTTTGATCAGTAATTGATAACAACACCATTTAAGGCTAAGTTTTTCATCAGGACTGCTGTTCACGTCTGAACAAGCATCTGGTTCAACCATACACAGACTTCTTAACACTTATAAATGCTTGTTCTATAGCTTAGGCCTATTACTAACTAGTGATTACAACTTTAATGAACCCAGATTTCTATGTTTTTACGTGGTTCGCTATCTTATCTCAGTACCATAAGTTCACGACTTCCTTGTCTGCATCTCCTCAGGACTCCTTGACTCTGCCTTTCTTCTTCCTGGCATCTTCCTTGTCTGGCTCTCCCACCTAATCTCTTTGTGCCCAACTATAGTCCAGTCAGCTCTGTATCAACCAGAGAGAATAATAGATATTTGCAGTGTACACAAATTGTTCCACAGCAGCCACAGAGCAAACTAAAACATATACCAACACTGTAATAACATTTGTGACAAGGAGCCAACAATGTAATACGTGGAAAGAAACTGTGTTATCTCTGATAAAACCAGAAAGAAGACAAGGGCATTCATACCATGCCTTTTGGAAGCAGGGATGGGTCAGAGTCATACAAGGTAACTCTGGTTGTCCTGGAACACACTATGTCCACCAGGCTAGCCTCAGAACCACATAGCTCTGTCTGCCTCTGATTCCTGATGGCTAAGAATAAAGTAGTTCTTGCCATATCAAAATGGTTTCTGTATTTTATGCTGCGAAGTGACTAAAATCTTAGCCAAGTTAAAGGACAAGAGATAACATAAAAGGGATAAAAATAGGAAACCAAGGAGCTAAAGTTTGCATACTTGAAGAAGACATGCTTCCATATTTGAGATCCAAAACACTCCAACCAAAAAGTTTACATCAAGATAGCAAGATGCAAAATCGATACAAAACTCATTTGTTTCCTTACATACAGAGACCACATTTGCTGAGAAAGAAATTAAGACAACCGCATTCACAGTTAACTCAGAAATATGGCTGAAGAAGTTAATGAACATTTGAAGGCCATGAAAATGAAAACTTTCAATTAATGAAGGAACTGAATATACTTCATTAGAAGGTGGCAAAATCTTCCATATATATATATCACATATATATATATATATATATATATATATATATGGAATACTCAATACTGTAAAAACGACTTCTTAAAAAAACTTACAGACAGTGCTGACTCAGAAATTTAATGCTTTACTTTTCGTAACGGTAAATATGTGTTGAAACTCATATGATAAAATAAATACCCTTGATAGGCAAAGCAATTCTGAGCAAAAGGTATAATGTTTGGCACAACATAGTACCTGATTCCAGAGACAATGTGAACAGCAAATCATCACAATTCCAGCACAAACAGATTTTTACATCAATAGGACAGAATTGTTCAACTAAGAAATGAAACTCTGTGCATCCAACTCAAAGAAACAACCTATAGGGATAGCCTGGTGGTCTAAATTTGTGTATTTGAGAAATTACTATCAGCAATTCTTAAAGTGAATTGTGTGTACTGTCCACGTTGGTAATATATGCATCCATGATTAGTAAAATTACTGAAACACAAGCAGAGGTAAATGAAAAGTAAGTATCAGAGAATAAAAAAACCACACACTTAAACACAGCAGACACATACATCTTTTCAGTGCTAGAGATGACCCATGATGAAACCTCTTCATCCAAGTTCTCTAGATTGACAGCTACCACAGGCAGCTCCTACCACTCTAGGAAGTGAGACAGAGAGTAAGCCATCACCACTGTAAGTGATATCCTAGATTTCTCCGGATGAAAACACAGCAGGCCTGGTTTAGACATTCCCTCTTGACTTTGAAGATGGAGAAAAACCTGTCCTTTGTAATCCCCCAAAGCCTGCAACTGTGCATTTGCTCAGTTGATGGAAGGGCAAATGGGACACCCAAGTACCTCACAGTGGTCATATCTTGTACATCTATATCCTCACAACTTCAGAGATGTGGAGTGAACACATGTAGAGTCTCTGAAAGCTTAACTAGGTGGCTGCATGGATACTCTCCCCAGTGAGGAATGTCACAACCATTAGAGACCCTGACTCTGCACTAGAAGTCACACCCTGATAGAGGTGACATCCACAGAATCTGGTAGAGACTTGAATGCTCCTTCTGACCACTGAACTCATTGCAGTAGTCTGAGCTTTCTCTTGGTGGGACAACACTGGATGCTTCACACCGGACCTGGTAAAAGGGAAGTTCTCCATGATGGATCCAGGTAAAGAATTCTATTTTCAGCCTTGTAAATGGAGGATAATTGGGAGAAAAATTAAAAAGTCTCACTGTTTGGTAGTCAAAAAACCCTGAGTATTAAGAAGCAAAATATATTTTGTGCTGGTTCTTGGTTTTAAGGTTGGGAGAAAAGGACTGAAGACTCACAACATCACTCTGCTCATCCACACACCTCTCCTGAGTTATTCATCATGACATTTACATGAAAATGCAAACACACTTACAGATTATTCAGAAGAAAGGGTAAAATCACTTTGTCCCATGATTTCGGCACTGTAACAAGGAAAAGGATGCAACATGTCACCACATCTCCGTCTTTTTTCTGGTTCATTCTCCAAAAGCACTTGGGGTGAGTGAAACTATCCATGAGGAGGGGGATATTCAGGAGCCAGAAAAAGAAAATCAAGGTGAGCATCTCGTCTTGCCTCCAGGGCTAATAACTGGTAGAGTGGACTAAGGATGCAGATCAGTTTATCAAATGGATACCCCCCTGAACACACTTGCTTTTATGTCTGCTGCCTGAAGGAGAGGGCAGCTGTGTGGCTGAGATGCTTTGCTCTCTTCTGCTGCCATTACCCTGGAGAAATGTCAACCACTTTCTTACCAGGGGCTCTCCACCTGAGATTCACACTAGAGGTAAAAAACATGGGTTGAAAATATAAATCTGAGGACATATCTGCCTCCGGTCTCAAGTCATCATCTCTGTAATCCCTGGATATTGTGGCCTATGGGAGAAAGCATTGTTGGGCACATTGATCCCAGGCCAGTGTCAAGAAGTTGTTTGTTTGAACACCTTTAGAAATGATGTCAGCGGAATGTATCAGAAGATCCACAGCTATATGTGAAGGAAAGTTTGAAAGGACCCATGACAATCAAATCTCATGTGGATTCACAGTGTTCTCTATTGCCAAATACAAATCAGACAGCATCAGCCTCATGTGTACAGCATCCCCCATGATAGAGCATGAGCAGTGTGGTCCATGCTCCATCAGTCACAGAAATCAAATAACTAACCAGGAGCCCTGCTCTCCACGTGTCACTCTCCAAGAGTCAGGTCAAATCCAGAAATTGCTTGGTGTATACTGTGTCCAGAAATGTTCACACCATCATTTTCCATGGGAAACTAAGCTGGGTATTTGAATTATCATATGTGCACTCCATCCCTGAAGTCAGATTCTTCTGATGCCCCATTTCTTCAATTTTCTCCTTCATAATCGAATCACTTATGCTTGTCTTAGAACCCAGTGGTGACTCAGAAGCAGCACTGTGCTTTGTAGCTTTAGTAATAGTGAATAAATCCTTTGTACAATGTGTAAGCTCTCCTTATTTGATTGTCCTGGTTATATATTTTGCCTGCATATTAGAATATGCATTTCAAGGGGCAGAGTTCATTGAGGAGTGTGGGCTGAGGAAACGGTTTTAGGTGATACAGACTACAGAGAAAGCAGCAATTGTTTGGTGTGGAAGGTGAGAGATGATCGTTAGTATTTGAGTTTGTGTACACGGGCCGGGTGTTCTCTGGGTCTTGTCGAACATTTAAAAATTAACCTTTAGCACATGCATGGCCCTCTTGTTTTATGATAAGATAAATTTTATGGGTTAATTAGGGGATGGGGAATGGGAACAGAGGTATCAGTTAAGGAGATCGAAGGAGATGGGTTGAGAGAGGGAATCTAGAATTAGGGAGCAGTTGGGGGTTGATAAGTAAACCTAGTGCAATGAAAATTTCATAAAATATTTGAAGGCGATCCTAATGAGGTCTCCTAATAATGAGGGAGATAGAGTGCTAACTGGCCATCTCTTGTTACTAAAGGAGGCTTCCAGTACAGTGATTCGGTTGCATTCCATTGAGTTGTTGGCCAAAGGGGGTCTCCAAACAACCCAGGCCTTTTGCCAAAGATATAGGTTGGTCTGCACAAACTGAGAGCATGATCCTGTCCCTTGTTGAGGATAAAACCCATACAATTCACTGAACGTGACATGGAGAAATTTGGCTAGTGCCTATGTGGACCCTTTAGCCCTATATTATAATAGTCTTGAAGGTATTTCATAAGCTAGCAAAAGAGAAATGCAAACATCAACCCAGCCACATATCTGTGACCTATAATCTGTCCTGCCTGCAACACATGCTGGGTGTCCCCCCCTGTCAGGGACCAGAGAAGAGGCAAATTTCTAGTGTGCCCAATGGGGTTGTGAAACTGAGGCATTCTAGAAGTATGCTGACTACTATATATACATAGAAAGAGAGGGGTACTCCTAAACCCTTGTGATGGCTGTTAGTGTTTGTCAACCTGACTACATCTGGAAGTAACTCAACCCCCAAAAGGGAGTGCATACCTGTGATGGATTTTTCCTTAATTTAAAATAGAAATAGTCACTCCTAATCCAGATCCTTGAGATGGGTAGACATACATTTAATCCAGATATTTTGAGTTGGGAAAAGACAGGCCTCTAATTTGGGTCACACCTTTTTCAGAAGTCTATATGGAGACACGGAAGAAGGAATCTTTTACTCTTTGCCAGCTTGCTCTCACTTGCTAGCAAGTCCATTCCTTCATGGGCATTAAAGGCTACTTCTTTGGGATTCCAGCATATATTGAAGATGAGCTAAGATATTCAGCCTCAATATTAGATTCTTGAAATTTCCATTCATAGACAGCCATTGTCAGACTAGCTAAACTAAAGTCTGTGAGTCATTCGAATAGATTCCCTAGACATGCAGAGACTCAAGCAGCTCGCTTAAAGGAGTCTTCCTGTCTCAGCATAAGCTAAAAAAAAAAAGCCAAACCAAACCAAACCAAACCAAAACAAAAAAAAACCGAAAAACCCAGCAAGGTTCTTTTAAGAGGCTCTGCTAACAATGGAAAGGTGTGTACATAAGCTGAAATTGGCAGTGACTACATCTCTAAGCCGGCACATTTTCCTGGATCTCAACATAGACTGAGACAGTGTGTTGGAATCACCCTTAAGCCAGCTATCTTGGAAAACTGCAGTTTAAACAGCCTCAGTTTTAACAGATAAGATACGTGTCCAGAAAAACATAAAAATTTACAGTAAAGTCAGACTTGGATAAAGAAAACCTCTAAAGGTTTATAGTGTGTTTAAAAATATACATAGGATTGAGAGAGAAAAAAAAACAGCATAGTGGTCAAATAAATAGAGAAGCCGGTTGTGGGGGCACACGCCAGTAGGATTTGCTGCAGAGGCAGGGGCAGGCAGATTTTCAGAGAAACCCTGTCTCAAAGCAACAAACAAAGAAATAAAATAAAAGAAATAGAGTAATAATAGATAAATAAGCCACGTAAAGATGGAAAATACACAGAAAGTCTAGATACTGTACGCTATTTTCTTTTTCAGGTATTTGGTTGCTAACGAAGGAACAACTACTAAAGTACACTTGGTTATAAATGCTGCTGAATTAATTCAACTTATATATTTTCAAAATGCCTTGACTTCAAACTCTAAGTATAAGGATATGTTACTTTGGAAAAGAGTTTTTCTTTATGTTTACACAGATAATGAAAAGCTGAGGATTCCTCCCATGATTCTGTGGTTTGATGAACCAAGACCCCCGGAAGCAATGGCCCAAGTGATTCAACCTCTAAAACAGCTAAGATGATACAGCTTTAAGGACCCGAAAATAAGGTCTTATACAGGTTTCTGAGTTTTGTCATGGTCCCCTGTATGAACAATGCCCCCTTCCAGCACGAAGATATCAAAAAATGGAAAGATCTTCAGTACTCTTTTTTAGGTAGGATCAACATCGCAAAAAGTAGCAATCCTGTGAAAAGTAATTTAGAGATTCATTGCAATTCCCGCCAAAATCCCAGCATAAATCTGCACAGTCCTCGAAACAGAACGCAAATTCATATGGAAAAACAAAAAATCCAGGGTATCCAAAACATCCTGTACAATGAAGGATCATCTGGGGTCATCGCCATCCGTGACTTGAAGCTCTGCTATAGAACTACAGTAATGAATACAACTTGGTATTGGCATAAAAACAGATAGATGAACCAATTGATGGTGTGAGAGGGAGAAAATGGGAGGGAGAGGGAGTTGGGATTGGTGTGCAAAGGAATTTTGTTTTAAAAGTAAAAAACAAATATTTTAAAAAAGATATATTTTGATCCCATCCTGGAAGGTTTCAGTCAATGGTCAGTTAGCCTTTCTTTACAGACCCCTGTCAAGACAGAAAAAGCCTCATGGGAATATGTCTAAGTGTGTTAGTTCTTTGCTTTGTTGTTGCAAAAATGTTATCTAAAAAACAACAGGAGGATATTTCTGGACTCATAGTTTGAGGATGTGTTCAATCCCGGCACAAGCCATGGTGCCTCAACAGTTAGTGTGCAGAGACAGCTCAAGGTTGCTGCTCACCTTCCTCTTTCTCTTCATTCATTCATGGACAATGGCTAATATGTAATGGGACCCCACTTGTAGAGAGGGTCCTTTTACCTCAGGTAACATAATCTAGAAAATCCTTCACAATAATTCTCATTGTTTGGTTTCCACAGTGTTTCTAAAACCTGTCAAGTTGGCAAGATGAAGTATTATCATGAAATAAAAATTGATTTGCCTTTGTATACAGGAGTCAAAAGACAAGCTACCAAGGGCCTAATTTTTTACTTCTATGCCTCACCTCATAATCTTTTAACAATTCTCCAACAAAGTTATGTGATTAGGGCCCATGAATGACTCATCATAGACCCTCATTATCTGTCTTTAGAGATATTAGCAGAAGTAAATTAAAGTCTCTATATTCGAAAAACTATTTATTGCAGTTTCCATAAAACCAATGGTGTGTGGATTTATGTTTGGGACTTTGATTAGATTCCATTGCCCAACGTATTTGTTTTGATGTCAATACCATATGGTTTTTATTACTATATTTATGTAGTACACCTTTAAATCAGGAATGGTGATGCCTTCATAAGTTCTTTCATATATACAAGATTTTGTAACTATCCTAGGCTTCTTGCTTTGCCATATGAATTTGAGTACTGTCCTTTCAACTCTGTAAATAAAAGAATTATGTTGCAATTTTGGTGTGGATTGCATTAAATCTGTTGATTGCTTTTGATAGGATTGCCATATTTTATTATGGTGAAATTACTGATCCAGGAACATGGAAGACCTGTCCATATTCTTCATTTCTTTCTTCACACTTGTGAAATTTTTATTATGCATGTCTTTCACTTGCTTGGTAAGAGTTTCCCCTAGATATTTTCTATTGTTTGTAACTATTGTGAAAGGTGCTTCCCTGATTTCTTTCTCAAAGCATTTGTAATTTGTATAGAAGAGGGATACTGTATTTTTTTAGTAATCTTGTACCTAGTCACATTGCTTGGAAAGTCTTTTTCAACTCTTTACTCTAAGGTAATATCTACATTTGGTATTGAGGTGTGTTTCTTGTAT